ACTCAAACTGTGGATGGCTGTGTGGGACTCCAGTGCCACAATCACTCTACTACCTGCTGGCCCCTGTATGGTGTATTTTTTAAAAACTGCACATGTTTAATGTATGCAATTTGGTGAATATTTTACGTATGGATACACCTGTGAAACATTACCATAATCAAGGAATAAACATATCTATCACCTCTAAAAGTTTCCCTTGTGATTTTTTTTAGAGGTTTTGCCTTAGGTTGTGTGTGCTCACCAGAGAGAGAGAGAGAGAGAGAAAGAGATAGAGAGAGTGAGAGACAGAGAAAGTGAGAGGGAAAGTAAGAGATCACCCCTCAGTGAGGATGGCCATGGCCACACTGGAATTCCCGGGATCTTGGGCATGCACGCACAAGTGCCCGGTGTGACTTCTTGGGCATGCACGCACAAGTGCCCGGCGTGACTTTCCAGGACTCAAACTGCAGTCTGCAGTGTGGGAATCCAGAGACATAACTGCCACACCATCTGCTTGCTGCTTTTTTCTTTTTCTTTTTGATAAGAATGCTTAACACATGATCTACTCTCTTAACAAATTTTAATGTACACAGTTCTGTACTGTTAACCAAGGGCACTGTCAGATTACAGCAGATTCCTGAAACTTACTCATTTTTCTTAACTGAAACCTTACACTTACTGAACAACTCCCGTTCCCCCCTTCAACTCCTGTGAATTTGACTATTTTATATACCTCGTGTAAGCATAGAATCATGTAGTATTACTTTTATTCTTTTAAAAAGTATTGCATCATATTTATGCTTTACAGATGTGAAAGATTTATACCAGTTGACTCTTTTCTATATACCAAAATAGTTTAAAGAATATGATTGATGTGTAACAGACATTTTGAAAAATCTATATTGTACATGAACTTTCACATCAACACACCTGAGTAACCAGTATCAGATCAAGACTCAACGCATTACCAATTACTCTTGTGTATCCTATCACCCTTCCCAATTCTAATAGCACTGGTTAGTTTTATTTCCTTTTTGTATCTGGAATCATACAGTATGAAGTTATGTCTCATTTCTTTAACTGAACATAAAAAAATTAACATGCAGATGGTTCCGGTGAATACTTTTTTTTTTTTTTTTTACTGAAAACACTACTTTCCCTTTATAGAAGTATCTAAAAAGTTCTAAGCATATTTTGTTAAATGGAGGCTATTTATTTATTTATTTATTTAACAGAAGGTTCATGTACTTACTAGAGAGTGAAAGATAGGAAAAAAGGGAGAGAGATAACAACCCCCAGTGGGGCACGGTCTCTTTCCTCCATTTCTTCATTCTTCTAGGATTTTGGGCATGCATGCATGCATATGTATCTAGCATGTTTTTCAAGCCACCGGGGCTGGGATTCAAACTTCGGTTGGCCATGTGGGATCCAATTCCCTGTGCACAAGATTTAACTGTTACACTATGGAGCTGACCCAAGGCTATTCTTAATTCTAAGAATTTAAACATTTTTTCACATTGGATTGCATAAATATTCAGCCTCTGTATTTTTTATGTAAAAGTCTTTGCCTGCAGTTAGGCTATCTATCTTTCTTTGATGTATTTATTAGACAAAAATCATAAAATTATTTTTAATATTTTTTATTTTAATTTCTTTTATACATTCAATCACATATGTCACTTAGCTTGCAAAGTGAATATTCCAACACGTATACATTTCTCACCAGTCCAGTTGAGAATTTAGATGCTGAAAAATAGTTGAATTTATCAACTATTTTATTCCAGTTCAGAATATAGGTTTATCCAATTAAAATGAGGAACTTTTGTTAAAAGTGTCTTGACATGTTTACATATTCCAAGATACAATTCTGTAATTTCAGAATTACATCTTATACACTTCTTTTCCTTGTATCGTTTAGTACTATTCCCCTTTCTACAAAGCAGATATATTTCAATGCCTTTTAGTTTGCAAGATTTGTTTTTAACTTACTCAACTGTTCAAAGGTTGAAAATTTTTGCACTCCATTCACTGCATACTATGATTAAGGACCAAAGATTCCCTACCAATTTTGAATAAAATGTGACAAAAACTTGGGGAAAGTACTCACAAATGAGTTAAATTCTATTATAGGTCACTTAACTCAATTATAAAGTAGTAAAAGGGGAAAAAGACAGAAGTAAAACATTTAAGGGACATAGAAATACATACATATAATGGAAAATTGTTAATGTATATAGGAAGGTCTTTGAACTAATATACAGTGTATTCATGCTGGGGAAATTAATCTTGTATGATGTATTGATGCACAGTAGTTGAATGTAAAAATAATAACAAGGTAAAAAGAAGAGAAAAAAAAAGTAAAAAACTTAAGACACTTCTATTATCCAGTGGGGAAGAGACAGAAAATAAATGAGTTTTTATGCAGAAGGGTTATATTATTTATTTGTTTGTTTTTGGCATTTAATACCAAGTTGGCCAAATCTTTTGTAACTCCATTTTTCTGTGTCTGTATAAAAATATTTGCAATTTTTTGCTTTCATAAAAGTTTTTGCTATGTGCACATGTACTTCCTGGAGAGAGAGATAGAGATAGAGATAGAGATAGAGATAGAGAGAGAGAGAGAGAGAGAGAGAGAGGAGAGAGACAGTGGAAAGTTAAGTGAAAAATCACCTCTGATGGGGGATGACCATGCCATAATCCCTTCTCCATTCTCCTCCTGGGATCTTCGGCATGCATGCACAAGGGCCCAGAATGATTTTCAAGCCACGAGGTCGGGACTTGAACCTCAGTTGACCATGTGGGAGCCCAGTGACGTGACCATTACGTCATCTGCTGGCCCTCAATATTTGTAAATTTTAACAACTATAGTTCTATTTTGCTGGCAAGACCATCACAGCTTGTTGAGATCAAATTCTAAATGATGTGTACCAAAATTAACTGCAAATACACCTCTTTCCTAGGTTCCATAATTCATTAAGAACATTATTTTTTATCTGTTTATGATATTGTTAATAGTATTCTCAGCTGGACTGGTCTGAGGTGTATTTACGTTGGGTAAATTCTCTTTGCAAGCCAAGTGATGTATAGTGATCAAATGTATAAAATAATAATAATAATAAAAACTTTAAAAGACCATTATTTTTTATCATTAAACTGTGCTTCACTGAAGTTTGTATTATTAACACAAAAATAGTGTCTTCAAGTTAATGGTATCCACTGAATTTACAACAGCATTCACAATTATGCCAGATACTTCATTTTTGAGAATGAATTTTCAGGAGATTTACTGAATGAATGAAACTGTAAGAAAATTTAATTATTAAAATAACAAATGATTTCTTTGTTTGAAAGTTTTCATGATGCTGATATAAAACTGTCATCATTTTATGGGTGAAATTGGTCTTTTGCTATTGGAACTAATATTGCTTCACTTTTTCTTTGTACACCAAAACTGGAACTAAAAAAACGGGCTAAGATACCTCCAATGCAAATAAAAAGTCAGTTCACAGAGTGATACGGAAGCGCACCTCCTGTGGTCCAATTATTATTTTTTTAAAAAAGTTTTTGCTAATAGAGCATGTGTGCTCAGCAGAGAGAGAGAATGAGAGAAATCACCCCCTCCTTCCCCAAGGAGGATGGCCATGCTGCAATCCCTTCTCCTCCATTCTCTTCTTGGGATTTTGGGGATGCATGCACATGTGTCCAGTGTGATTTTCTTTTTTTTAAAAAAGAATGATTTATTTATTTAATTAATCATTATTAATATTTTCACATGAGTTTTGCTAGAGAAAGACAGAGAGAGAGAATGCAAGCCACCAGTTCTGGGACTGGAACCACAGTCAGCCATGTGGGAATTCCAGCTCCTTAACCACCACGCCACCTGCTGGCCCTCTCCAGTGTGATTTTCAAGTTGCCCAGTCTGGGACTCGAACTGTACAGTTGGCCATCTCCTTAACCTCCATGCCACCTGCTGGCCTGCTATTTTAAGTTATTATCCTCAGACACAGTCTGTGAAAGCAAGCCCTTGGGCAACTACAGCAGATTTTATCTTCCAGTTTTCAAATCCTCTGGACATTTCTATAACTCTGATGAGTGATGAATGCCTGCAAACATTTTATGCAAAATACATCTTAATCATCAACTTTCTTGAGTAATATGCATTTCTGTATTTTAAGTTTATTGCTACTGACAGTGTTTATTGAAAATATTAAAGTATTACACTAAACTGTACTGCTCTGGATTTGTATCACACAAAAACTGATCAAACCACCGTAGTGAAAACTTTTAGACTACCTTATGAATTCTCTATAGCAGGGATTTTAGGTCCTCATTTTATGAACATTTTTCATTTATATACAAGAGGCTGCCAATGCATAACACGTCAGTTTTGTGCACAGTCCTTCCATATTATGGCCTAGACCACAATCCAACTGGCCGGTACACCAAATGACTGCTAGAAACAGCACTGTTTAGAATTTCTCTCATGACCACCTTACACTTGAGAGGTTAGCTTTCAGGACCCACAGGTGGTGTGATGGTTAAAGTGCTGGGACATTCTCACATGGCCGACCAAGGTTTGAGTCCCAGACCTGGTGGTTTACTTTCTCACTTTCTCTCTTTCTCTCTGTGTGTGTCTCTCTAGTCAAATTAAAATAAATGAATAAATTACTAAAATTAAATAATTACTTTAAAAAAAGAAATTAGCTTTCTCTAGATCATATCTGATTTGATTTTTAAAAATTAAAATGGAAACTTATTTATTTATTTATTTTTAGGCCCGAGAAATGCATGCTTGTGATAGAAAGAAAGAGAGAGAGAGTGAGGGAACCACCAATGAAGTCTGGTCACATTGCAATCTTTTCTTCTTCCAGTTCTCCATTCTGTCAGGCTCCTGGGCACCTGCATGTGCTTGGCATGTTTTTCAAGCTGATGGAATGGACCCCGAGCTCTGGCTGGTCATGTGGAACCTGGCTTCCTGTGCATAGAACCTCTACTGTGGTATGATGCTAGCCTTGATTTTTTTTTTTTTAAACAGGAAATATCTTTTGCCATTTATCCAGCTGAAGATTTCCTTGAAGAAATAATTTAAAGATTGAGAAGAAAAATAAACCAGGGAGGATCCTGCGTGCTGTCTTTGGGCAGAGATTTTAGTCTCACAAGAAAAAGGAAAAGGGAGACAAGATATGACCGGTTTATCTCTCAGGTTTACATATATGTCAAAGTGGTAACCCTGTTCAGTGCACACATGTTTCACACAATATCAGGTGGTGTAAGCTGGAGGTATAAAGTATAGGTCTACCAAACTGCTACTAACATCAAATAAAAAAATTGAGACATTGACTGGGAGGCCTGGATGACAGATATGTAAGAGGACTTCAAAAATTTGTGGAAAAAGTGGAATTAAAGTATAAGTTTATTTTGATACAAAAATGAAATACATACATCATTTTTCATAAGACAGTTCTTTGAGCTTTTTGAAGATTCCTTTTATTTAGAGACTGTCTTGGAAAATTTTGAAATTGTAAACATGTTTTTCTTCCTTATTTATTCCGTCCCTTCTTTTTTACTTCTTTCTTTCAGAGCTGACCACTTGATTTAGGTAGTTTTTTTTTATGCTAATGCATTTTGCTGAGGTATAATTTATATACTGTGAAATACACTAATCACACATGAGTAATTGTTTGAATTTAAAAAGTACATAACATGCATGGGACCAGTAGTTAGCGTATTGGCTATGTCGCTGGACTCCCACGTAGTTGACCACAGTTCGTGTCCTGGACCCGGTGACTTAAAACTCACGCCGGGCGCGTGTGCGTGCGTGCCCAAGATCCCAAGAGGAGAATGGAGGAGAAGGGATTGCGGCGTGGCCATCCTCCCTGGAGGGTAATTTCTCACTTTCTGTCTCTCTGTCTCTCTCTGTCTGTCTGGCGAGTGCACGCTCCCTATAGCAAAAACCTCTCCAAAAAAAAAAAAAAAGTACATAACATGCAGATAGCCATCATACAGATCTAGAGATCAAGGATTTCCATACTCTAGCAAATCCCCTCCTATCTCTGTCCAGGTCATCATTCTTTCCTCACCCTCCACAGGCAGCCACTATTCTTGCTTTTGTTACCACTGATTGGATGTATTAGATTTGCCTATTTGAACTTCATAAGATGAAAACATGGCGTATGGACTCTGGCGTTTGTGTCTCTCCTCTCCCAGCCAACATAGTATTTTGAGATTTATCTATGTTGTTGCATGTATAAGTCATTCTTTTTTTAAAAAAATTGCTGAGTGTGAATATACTACAGTCTGTGTATCCATTCTTCAGCCCACACACGTTTGGATAGTTGTCAGTATCGAGCTGCTGTGAATAGAGCTGCTGTGGCTGTTCTTGTACAAGTCTTTTTGGGTAGATATATGCACTGATTACTCTTGTGAGTTTATTAAGGAGAAAGAATTACTGAGACATAAACAGGGATATATAACATTTAATTTTACGAGAAACTGGCAAATGGGCCCAGTCACTTTACACAATGCCATGTTGACAACTGCAATTACAGATAATTCCCCCACTGGAGTCAACATTGGTTAGGAAAAGTTCCATTCACTTCTTTACTTTTAATGGCCTCTTTTTAGTGAAGCAGGACCATGTGACTAGTTCTAAAGAATGGGCTGAAACAGTGAATGTCCCTATGTAGTTCAGTAGTTTTATTCTCTGCTACACTGACTGAGGAGTTTGCATGGGTCCTACAGTGAAGTTACAAAATTGTGGTGCTCTCTAAGCCTGGACCTTATGAATACATGGAGCAAAGCCCCATGTCAATTTATAGACACCAAGAATTTTGATCTGTAAATAAAACGGATTATTTTGGATCTGATAATTCCCACAGCAAACCTAGCCTATTCTGACTAAATTACAAACGCACAGATAGATTTTCAGCATTGTTAACCCTTACAATAATCCTTTTTTAAATGTTTGGTACCTTTTTTTTTTTTTTTTGAGAGATTTTCACTGTAGGGCGCGTGCGCTCGCCAGACAGACAGAGAGAGACATAGAGACAGAAAGCGAGAAATCACTCCCCAGGGGGGATGGCCACGCTGCAATCCCTTCTCCTCCATTCTCCTCTCGGGATCTTGGGCACGCACGCACACGCGCCCAGCGTGAGTTTTAAGCCACCGGCTCCTGGACACGAACCGCGGTCGACTACGTGGGAGTCCAGCGACATAGCCATTACGCTAACTGCTGGTTCCCATGTTTGGTACCATTTTTATTAATCTTCAGTTTCAGTGGAAAAATAAAACCTTTTTCAAATGCTCCTGTCATCAGAAGAGTTCTAGTTAATTGTGTGTGTGTACATATATGTCGTCGTGTTTTTTGGTTAGCTAGTTAGTTTTGAAGTGCAGCAAGAGACTAATACCACTTACGATAATTCTTTAACGTAAAAAATGTTATTTTTTGATTTGAAGAAACATATTCTGAGAAGGTGAGATATTTTCTCAAGTTACAGATCTAATAAATAGAGAGAAAGCATACATATTTTAACTCTAAACCCCATGTATTACTGAGCTATCCTTTGTCAACTAGATTTTTTTATTTTAGAAATTATATAGAGGAGCTAAAATAAAGAACAAAAAAAATACTTTCTTGCTCAACTCTTAGATTTGCCATGATATGCACATGCATGATGATGATGATGCTTGGCAAAAATTCATTCAGAAGGAATAATTTATTTATTTATGGCTTTACTGAGGTCCAATTAAGAGTCCAAATGCCTGCACATATTTAATGCATAAAACTTGATGAGTTTGGACATATGCATACGTGCATGATACCATTAGCACAATTAAGGCAACAACCATGTCTGTCATCTCCTGAAGTTTCCCGTGTCCTTTTACTTTTATTTTATTTTATTTTTTTGTAAGAATACTAAACATGAGGTCTATTGTCTTTATTGGGTTGGTATTTATTATTTATTTATTTATGTATTTATTTATTTATTTAAGCCGGTGGCTTAAAACTCACGCTGGGCGCCTGTACTTTTGGTGTTAAGTCCATGAAGTCATTGCTAAGACCAGCTCATAAAGCTTTTCCTTTGCACGTTCTTCCAAAAAATGTATAATTTCAGGTTTTACATTTCAGTTTTTAATTAATTTTGAGTTGATTTTTATGTATAGGTAAGGCAAGTCCAATTTCATCTTTTTTGCATGTAGCTATCCAGTTTTCTCAAGACCATTTTTTGAAGAGAGTATCCTTCTTTCGTTGTGTATTTTTGGCACCTTTGTGAAAGATAGGTTGACATACATGCATGAGTTTATTTTTGGGATGCCTATTCTACTCCTTGATCTATATGTCTGACTTTATGCCAGGACTGTAGTATTAAAATTATTGTAGCTTTGTAATATGCTTCAAAATTATGAGTGTGATACTTCTAGTTTATTTTTCTAATGATCACCTTGGCTATTATGTGTATTTTGCTGTTCCATATGAAGTTTAGAACTCTTTTTTCCATTTCTTTAAGAAATGTCATTGGGGGACCAGCAGTTAGCATAATGGCTATGTCGCTGGACTCCCACGTAGTCGACCGCGGTTCAAGTCCCAGACCCGGTGGCTTAAAACTCACACTGGGCGCATGTGCATGTATGCCCAAGATCTCGAGAGGAGAATGGAGGAGAAGGGATAGTGGCGTGGTCATCCTCCCTGGGGGACTATTTCTCACTTTCTGTCTCTTTGTCTCTCTCTGTCTGTCTGGCGAGCGTACGCGTCCTATAGCAAAAACCTCTCAAAAAAAAAAAAAAAAAAGGAGGGAACCAGCAGTTAGCGTAATGGCTATGTCGCTGGCCTCCCACGTAGTCGACCGCGGTTCAAGTCCCAGACCCGGTGGCTTAAAACTCACGCTGGGCGCATGTGCATGTATGCCCAAGATCCCGAGAGGAGAATGGAGGAGTAGGGATTGCGGTGTGACCATCCCCCCTGGGGGGCGATTTCTCGCTTTCTGTCTCTATGTCTCTGTCTGTCTGGCGAGCGCATGCGCCCTACAGTGAAAATCTCTCCACAAAAAAAAAAAAAAAAAAGGAAATGTCATTGGGATTTTGATGGGAATAGCATTGAATCTGTAGGTTGCTTTGGGAAATATGAACATTTGAACATTTTAAACAACATTTTAACAATATTAAATCTTCAAATATATGAATGTTGGATGTTTTCCCATTTGTGTCTTTTTAAAATTTCTCTTATCAATGTATAATAGTTTTCAGTGGATAAGTGGCAGCAATTTAGAGAGACTACTAAGTGATACATTAGGACCTTATCTTCAAGGAGTCCACTATATGATGTGAACAATAAATGCTTATTTCTCTAATCATAGAGGCCATTTTTACCTGAGAAAGTATTAACAATTACTATTATTTACTACAAGTCTACTATTGCTGATTTTGCGAACCCTGGAAATGAGTTTATTAAAATCCTTAAGTGTCATGAGTCAGGCACTGTGTTTAGGAGGAGCAGAAACAAAGGAAATAGAGATGCAGAATCCAGAGAATTATTACTTGAGAAGTGTGTATTATTAGAAACCATTTATAAAGACACAAGGGGAACAGTAGCCAAAAGAGTTCACCATTTCCCTTACTACTCTATCTGTGCTAATTAGAAATTCCAGTGGGTTCACAGGTTCTTTTCATTAACTTCCTTATAATGTTGGCAAGTTATTCATACTATACTTAATCTCCCATTACTATTATTCTTAGCTATACATTTCCACAAAGAGTAAAAGTCAGTATTAATAAGAACAGTTACTGAAAGAGGAAGAAAGGACAATTGAGAAATCCAAGCACAGAGTTGTTGGGGAATATGAATTGGATGTGGTGATTGGTTCCTTTATGACTGCACTACTTTTAACTGTGTGATGTCAGAGAGTAGCCATAAAACTTGGAGAGTTTGGGTGTGAGTTGAAGAGGGAGAAGTAAAAAAAAAGAAAGGAGAAGGAGTCAAATAAACTCCAGTGAACTTG